GGCCCAGGCCTGCCCGCGTTAATTGGTCGCGCTACCTGTCACAGTTGGCCCAGGCCTGTCCGCGTTAATTGGTCGCGCTACCTGGCCAAGGGTTAGGGTTAGGGCCAGCAACGTTACGTCACATATTTTGCATACTAATTACTTCCGGAGCAGCGTGACGTCATTGGCGGCATCCCTTTGAACTCCAGACGGGGGTCTATCACTACTGCCGTAATGAATGCCATGCTGCATTATAGAATATTTTGATTATATATACATTTCTCGACTCGTATGAGTCACTGTACATTTTAAGATCAAACGGTCAATAACATTTCAATTCATGTCAGATACTTCTACACATCTAGAATTATTGACAGGAATTTAATTAATGTATTTTTATGCTCATTCTTATAGGGTCCGCTCACAGTTTGTGTTCAAGAACTAGATGGATCATTCAAGCATACTGTGCAAATTGAAGATAGTTCAAGTCGTCACGAATTGCAGTGTCACTCCAAGAGCAGACGGTTTGAGCAATTTCAGATTTTTAGTAATTTCTTGCATAATAATTTATTTTAATATGTTTTTTTCTGGTATACGTAACGTAAATGGAGCCTTTTGATTGGCTGACGAGAGGTCTGTATCACACGACAGGAACCTCTCGCGTTTCGGGCCAAACAAACCGAGGAGTGAAGACAATCTTCAAACTCGAAAAACTAAACCTAACGACAGAAAAGATAAGAAAATAAATTAAATTAACCCCGATGGAGTTCGTGTCGAGTCTGGAATCTACTTTACTCCGACCAAAATGCGAAAGAATCCCAAATATTTTTGTGACATATACATCGAATACACTGTGCTACATGTTGTATTTCAGCATATATAATATGTTAACGAATTTCTTATCGTACAGATTAAACGTGATTGGCAGGCTAGGAAATACAGTAATATTTTGATTAGTTATTTAATATATGCATGTGCTATTAAACCTAGTCAGATAATTTCTTTTGGTAAATAACAGATTACAATGTTTGTACATTAGCAGCAGTGATTGCTAAATTATTTACACTGAATCTCTCGACTGACTTATATATTTTTCATGTTCGTTGCATCTTAAACACAGGCAGTGAGGCAGCACCATAGATATCTTATATACACTAGATAGTGCATCTAATTATTCTGCAATTCAAAAATTGAAGCCGTGATTGCAGACTCAGGATATTCCCATGAAATGAGAAGACTCGTATGTTTTCTATTACAGGGAACTTAAACATTAAGTTAAACCTATTCCAAACACATTTTCAAACTATTCAAATGATGAAAGTTATTGTTGTTTTATAAGCGTTTATTAGCGAGTGGGAAACTCCAACATGGCCGCCATCTATTCAAATGGGGGTAACCTCTGGAATATTCTTGGCTTCAATTTTACTAAAAGAGATGCGCTATCTAGTGTATATAAGGTAGCTATGGGCAGCACACCCAGCATCTTCAAATTGGGGATAATTTGCAAATTTAAATCTTTGTGTGTATGTTTTATCCTATACCAATACAAAGTGCAACAATATAGAGCACAACAATTCGTCAAATAAACACAAATAAAATTTTATTATGTAATATTTTTCATTCAATTTCGTGGTTTGAATTTGCAGATTTATGCTTGGAATTTTTGAACAATAAATTTTTTGCAGAAGCCATACTCGGGCATACAATTACAAGCTAACAAAGTTGATTCAGTTTGAAATGAAACAAAAGCTAAGGAAATACAGAGGGTGCATATGACATCAGCATGATCCCCTTCCCACAGTGAAAATCAGTGCATGATGCAATTATACTTTGGGCACTGTTTGGGAAAAGCCGGGCCACAAGTCAATAGGGCTCCTGAATGAGAAAGGATGGCAAATGATCGAAGTTGAAGTCTTTGAGCGATTGTTACACGGTGTAGGTTGTGGTTATAGTCGTTCTTCCCCGAAAGGCTATGGTTGCATTTTTCACGGCTGCTCCTGCGTCTAAAAATGTATATAATTTTCAATATAGTGGAAATGTTAATATAGACATTTTAATATAATCGGGCATCCAAGCCAACAGAGCTTTAATTCATTAACATTGTTACTGCATGATGCCTGATGATTATATTTTTAGGAACAAACGAAAGAAGATTCCTCTGATAACTGGAGAAGAAGTTGACATAGACCTTGACACAATGGAGTAGGTATATTTTACTGTGTATATTTCGCGGTGATCTACTATAAGATATACTAGCGTTTGTTTTCTTCAATCTGATATTGTCTGGGTTTTCCCAGTAATATTGATGGTATAACTCATGAGTGATGATTCAGAATTACTAAATGGTTGTGTTTTTTTAGCTCCGATTCTCCTGTTCTCTGGATTCGAATTGATCCAGAAGTAAATCTTATTCGTCAAGTGTTGTTTAAGCAGTCTGACTTTATGTGGCATTTTCAACTGAGGCATGAGCGAGATGTGATTGCCCAAGCAGAGGTAAAGTTGCGTGACTGATGTCTTACTACCTATAAATGTCCAAATTTAACCTAGTATTTTTCCAGTATACAATAATAGTGGGGCTGTATAAATCAGTTCATTGGGAAAACATCAAAACAACAGATTTCCTAAATATAGATCATAACGTTGTACCTGTTCATTATGATCAGAAAGAGATTGACAATTTATTTAATGAATAAATATGAAGGAAAACTATCAGGGGAAGTTCCCTGTATATATATATGTACATTTGACTTTGTAGAAATTACTAAAGATGAAGTTCTATAGCTGAATTAAATCTAAAAGCCAACAGGGGTTTTGAACCAGACAATATATCTCCAAAATTTCTCAAAGACACTATAATTGTGTAATTGCTTCAACACTAACGAATATTTTTAATCATTCCTGACGAATGGGCACTTGAAAGATAGGAAACAATTTTGTAAAATTAATTAAAGCCAGTAATCAATCAAGAGCATTCGATGTGGAATACCTCAAGGATCAAATTCTTGGCCCACCCCTATTTCTGATTTATATTAATGATCTGCCAAACTGTTTTGATGAATCTGTTCCACGCATTTTTGCTGATGATACGAATATATCCGCAAATGCTACTAAATATTACATGGCCCTATGAAAATCAATGTCAAAAGGTTACCGCGTGTATATACTAGAAGTACATGCATGATTGCATGCAACAACCCCTCGCCCTCATTTCCCAAACAAGCTTCGTAAAACGTTATTAAATTTTCACTGAAATTAACTACTTTTTGCCGATAAAAGAAATAAATTTAAATCATACAGGTCGCTCTTGAAAATAATTTGAACTCTTTCTTTTTTTAGCTTTTATAAAAAATTTAAAAAGTTAATTCAAATAAACTTTTACATACAATGAAAATGAAAGCTGTACATGTTCAGGGAGTTCAGGCGAAAAATGAACAGCAAAGTCATGTCATACATAAACAGTAAAAACGAACTTATACTTCAAGATTTCTTATACTTTAATATTGTTTCTTTAAAATTTGAAAATGGTGATTTACAACTTGCAGGGTTTGTGCTACTCGCTAAAGTCCTTATATACTACTTAATAAGTTTGGGGTTAATAAGTCAAGGGCGCTTGAAAATATCTTGAAATGTACAGTTTAAAAAAACTCCTTAAATACTCCTTGAAGTTTTAAAATGCTTTGTTAAATTGTAAGTGAAACCATAGTATTAACTTTTGTTAGTTGTCAGTGATATTTCATGGTGCAAAAACCGGCGATAGAAACAAATCGTTGAGCCAAAATTCGTCAATATTACACCAAGTATTTCGTTTTGGAAGCACACTGGTCAATTAACCGTGGGCTCGATCTGGGTTCGATTTTCTCGCCATCCCTATGTTTTCATTTTCCTTGAAAAGTGCTATTTTACTACTTAAGAAATCCTTAAGTGCTCCTTGAATTTAACTTTTCAAGACCAGCACGAACCTTGACTTATTGTGTGAAACGATTTCCAAGCTTTCTGTTATGTTTTTTGTTTTTTTTATCTTTGCTTCCTTCACTCCTGGCAAACAGCTATATTTTTTGGATCAGTGAGATGACCATCCATGCATAGCCATGTTCCCGCTCTTATATTGATGAACTTTAGACTTCGTTAATGGAGTAATGCTTTTTTTTCCCCGGGTGTAATAGCTGAGCGGAATTATAGTACCACCGCCACGGGCTTCGCCCTACGCGCTCGGCGATAAAAACAATAGTGTTATTTTCCTTTTCCATTTTAGGCTATAGAGAACCTGATGAACTTCCCTACACGACAAACAATGATGGCGTTTATAGATATAGCAAAACAAAAGGAATGCTTTTACAAAGTTCGCCTAAATGCCGTAGAAAGACTTGGCAAGGTAACATTGTACATTGTATTACACAACCTGATAGTGCATGCTACCCATTCCTTTCCTCTTTCTGCCAGGCGAGCCATCTAAAATTGGATTTTTGGACTTCTTAAGGTTACAGGACACCCTTTTTGGCGTTTTGTGAAAAATAGCTACTGCGCGCTCAAAAGCAGTCCGATTTTCATCAAATTTTCACCAAATGCATGTTAGCCAGTGCATGCAAAATATGATAAAGTTGTAAAAGTGACAAACAATAAAATAATGTAAAAATTATTCAGGAAAATCTTAAGTGGCGGTACCTTTACGCTTTTGAGTTATGTTCCTGCTGGTTTTAAGATATACTTATGAAAATATCATTTATATACAGTAAAATAGTTGTTCTAAAAAACTGTGTTCGGAAATGTTTGTTTATTTCGTCATTCCGCTGATATGGCGATTTCTTTCACGACTGCAATATATTTCTGAATCGTTTGTGTGAATTGCTCCTTATTATTAAAATATCCAAAATTAGACCAAAGCCGAACACCATTTTGAAACTGACGTCTTTAGCTATGTTCTGTGAAAATTTGAGAAAAATTCGTTAAAACCCGCAGGAGCACAACTCGTTTAAAAATCAGTAATTACCGTAAAATTCTTCGGAAGAAAATTGAATTTGAATATTACATTTTCAATGTTTTTCTTATTGCAAGCGAAATGTATTTTATTAAATAACTCTGCGAGTTTTCAACATTTTTCGTCCAAACTTGGTCAGATAGTAGAACTAGTCTAATGCTTTCATGGAAACCAATAAAAAAAATTTAGGCAAAATTAACACTCAAAGGTGTTCTGTAACCTTAAATGACGTTGGCAGATTATGTTTTTACATAAAATATATTCATGCTCTGCTTTATATTTTGAAAATGAAACCAAAGATGGCAGAAATTGACGTCCAGTGCAAATTCCTGACTATTGCTTTTGTCAGCGCAGTTCACACAAGGCTTAGCTTTGTCGGAGGACAATTAGCCGTATACATGGAGTAACAAATCATTTTACTGAGAAAAGGGTTATTTCTACGCGAGAATGAATCTCGCTGGTCTTATATTTTCCATCTAGTTTTATTTTAATCCAAGTTATCGAGTGACGTCTGTCTGAACTGTCATCTTCGTTTTTATTGTGTGATTGTATTTTTAAGCTTCAAAATGAAACTGGTGAACAATGGAACATTCATTTGTCCCTGATAGCTATATTTCAAGACATATTTGGATCTCAAACGTGTTCAACAATTGTGAGATATAACGATTTCTCAAATTTCATTGACTACTTTGTACAGAAGGTAGGTTAGTGAGCGGTTTACCATGCAATCTGTTGAAAAAGACTTTTATAGTAATTGAGGAAGACGCTGTTAGTCTGTATTTGTCAGACCATTCAATGAGATCAACTACATATGAGTTCATCTAATGCTATTGAATTACGGAAGTGGTATGGATAGAAATGACAAAGCCAAAGGAAAAATGAACTGTGCACCGGTTCAAGAGCAACTGCTCTGTTTTCGACTTTTAATATATTAACAACTGAAAATATAATTTTTAGCGTTTTATATTTGTCAAAAATAGTTTACAGAGATTTAAAATCTTGCGTTTTTGAATCTTCAAGTATAGTGTTGTAAACAACTTAATTTATAGCCATATAATAATTAAATACTTATTGACCGAGCTTGTTAGATCCGGACAGTGGGTATATTAGCCTAGACTCGATCGTTTTTCGTTTGTATATATATATATGGACCTCGCCTACAAACAAACAAAAAAATAACTCGACTAATAGCCTACAGTCCTGACATCTTGCTTAGTTAAAAACATATTATATACTGATCGTGTATAACACTTTTTTGCAAGTTTAAAGTAGTCCAGTTTCACTTTAGTCCGTCAAAAATACGCCGTTTAATGGCGACAAGTATTAAGTATCGCTGTCAGCATGTTAAATATTATAAAAGCGTTTTTATATGCATATAAACAACTTTTAGTAAGGTATAGTAAGGTATTCCTGTTAAATAGTAAGGTATTCCTGTTAAAACTTACCAAGGTCACATATTTATGGTCCTTTTACCGGGAAAAGAGTTATTTTAAGTTTTTCTTGGCGAGCGGTTCATCATAGATTAGCGGTCCATATATGGGATCAGTAAGCGGTTCTATCTGCACACAGGCTGTATTTTGCAGATGGACCGCCTTGTCATGTGATAAACTGACCAAAGAATGTTATTATTGAACTTTTTTGTGCACATGATTAGAAATGTAAAATAGGAATTTATATGTGTACGGTTGAAATGAAATTAATTAACAGGACTTTTCTTCTCTCTTGAAATTATTTCTGTGTCTGTTTCCTTCCTTGTGAATACATGCATGGTACCATTACTTGTGTTTGCCAGTAATCTCATCATTATCGGTCATAGAAGAAAAGGACTATCAAGTTAGAATGCACCGATAACACTAAACGTGGTTCAAGTCCGTCCCTGAAGGGTTGAAAATAGCGATGCATGCGAAAAAAGGCGCGAAAATATGAGAGAAAAGTAGGGAGAGACGGACTTGGATACCCTGCAAGCGCGCCATATTTTACCGTCGGATTTTTTCTACGGAGGCGTGACTTGCCAGTTGAGAACAACAATAAATTTTCGCGTCAATTTTTGCAAGTAACATTCGAAATGCTGCGAATGTCCCAAGTCCGTCTCTCCCTACTTTTCTCCTGAGATGGACTTGAACCAGGTCTACGATAACACTAGATTACTATTTACTATTTCAGGCAATAGTTTCGTCAATTGGCTTTTGTAGAGACATACAGTCACAATGCCCAAAAGCTGTGGTGCAGTTTCTTCTTGATTTGCTGAAATACAACGACAACAGACTAAATCAGGTGACATATACCATTTTCTAAGTATCCGAAACCATATATATATATATATATATATATATATATATATATATATATATATATATATATATATATATATATATATATATATATATATATATCATAA